TAACCAAATTCATACAAAAGCTTTGCCCCATATAGCTTTGTTCTTTCCTCCACTCTTTATGCTATTATTGTCATAAAAATTACATCTTTATTCATCATGAGTCCATCAATATAATTTTAAATTATTGCTTTATGCAATTAAATTAGGAGGGGAAAGATGAGAAAAAATACATTTATATTATCTTTTATATTTCCATATGTAAATACCTTTCCTAGTTCTGTTTTTCCAGGTGGATTTGAATTATTGTCTTGTGTCCTTTCTTTTCAGCCTGAAGGTCTCCCTCTACTTTTCTTTTAGGGCACATGTACTAGTGATGAATTCACTCAGATTTTTGGGAGAAAGAGGGAGATAATGGCTTAATTTCTCCTTCATTTTAGAAGAGCAGGTTTACTAGATATAGAATTCTTGGTTCACAGTATTTTTCTTTGAACCTCTGTAGTCATCCCACTGACCTCTGGTCTCCATGGTTTTTGGTAAAAAATCAGCTGTAAATCTCATTGAAACTCCCTTGTACATGAGGAATTGCTTGCTCTTTCTGGTTTCTAGATTCTATTTGTCCTTTGACATTTTAATTATGATGTGCCTAGATATGTTACCTGAGTTTATTCTATTTGGGGTTTTTTGAGACCTTGAACATATAGATTAATGTTTTTAATCAAATTTGGGGGAATTTCAGCCATTATTTCTTCCAATATTCTTTCTGATCTTTTCTTCCTCTCCTTTGCTTGTTGTATTTACCTTATTCATGTATAATATTCTTGATTGTGTGAGCCTTACAGGTTTGTAAGGCTCTGTTCATTTTTATTCAGTCTTTCTTCTCTGTTCCTCGGAATGGTTTATCTCAATTAGCTTATTTTCAAGTGTGCTGATTCTTTCTTCTTCCAGTGCTAATCATTAGCACTTACTAAATAGACCAGAAGTGGTCTAGCTCAGTCAATGTCCAATGTGCACTTGAAAGACTGTGCATTCTATTGTCAGGTATTCTATAAATGTCAATGCAGTCAAATTGGTTGATGATGTTGTTCAGGTCCTTTACATGTTTACGGATTTTTCTGTCTGCATGTTTTATCATCTGCTGAGAGAAGAGTATTGATATCTTCAGCTAAAATTGTGGATTTATCTATTTCTTCTTTCATGTCCATTAAATTTTGCTTCATGTATTTTGAAGTTATGTTATTAAGTGCATAAACATTTAGGTTTCTTATGCCCTCTTGATGACTTGATACTTTTATTATTGTAAAATATACATCTTTATCCCTGAAATATTCCTTGTTATGAAGTCTGTTTTGTCTGTTGTCAATATACCCACTTTCAGTTTTCTTTTTTTAAAAAATATTTTATTTTTTTATTTTAGCGATACTGGGGTTTGAACTCAGGACCTCAAGCTTGCTAGGCAGATGCTCTATCACTTGAGTCACACCCCCAGCCCCATGTTCAGTTTTCTTTTGATTAGTGTTATATCTTTCCCCATTCTTCAACTTTCAAACTGTGTATTCCTCCATATTTAAAGTGTGGTTCTCTATCTTTGTAGACAGCATATAATTGAGTCTTACTTTGTCAAAATCCAATCTGAACATCCCTGTTCTATAATTAAAATGTTTATAATTTATAGTCCCTTCCTCCATCTCCAAAGTGGGGAAGAGGGAGAGAAAAGCAGAATTTTTTAAAATTCAAAAGCATCTCTCCCCATACCAAGCTTATTAGTCACAAAACATGGGCCCTATGGGACCCAATAGAGTCTTTTCTTCTGCTTTCTTAAATTCTTGTAGTTAGGAGAGGCCAGGTAAGCTATAAAGTACTAACTGGGCGGGGGGGGGAGAAGGTAGATTTCCCTGGTAGGCTGTTCTGATATGGCTCAGATGGGCCTCATTTAGAAAAGAAAACACTGGGAGATGGGTTGGGATGGATGTGGATGCAAGGAGGTAACACAGTTCAAAGGAGAGACCATAGATCCATAGATTTCAGTTGTAATGTACTTTTTTTTTTTTCAGCACTGGAGTTTGAAATCAAGGCCTGATGCTTGCTAAGCAGGCTCTCTTACCACTTGAGCCACTTTGCCCCCCTTGTTTTAGTTTTTTAAAAAGACAATTTACTGAAGTATAGCCAACATACATTAAACTGTATATGTTCAAAGTATGTGCAGACAGTACTGGTAAGTTTTGAAATGTGTGTGTGTGTGTGAAAGAGAGAGAGAGAGAGAGAGAGAGAGAGTGAGAGAGAGAGAGAACAGCATCACAATCAAGAAATTAATAAATCTATCATCTCCCAAAGTTTCCCCATTCTCTTTTGTATTTTCTCCCTCCTGAGTGCCCCCACCTCTCCACCTCCTTCTCCTCCCCAGGCAACCATACTAATGTGCTTTCTGTTAAGATCAATTAGTTTGTATTTTGTAGGGTTTAATATCAGTGATATCTTACAGTATGTATTTCTTGTCTTTTTTCCATATTCAACATTATTTTAAGATTCATCCTTGTATGTGTATCATGAGTACATTCGTTTTTCTGCTCAGGAGTATTCCATTGTCAGAACATTTTGAATATAAGTTCGGGCTTTATACTTTCTAGTCATTTGACCACAGGCAAGTCAATTAATGTCTTGGTTTGCAAATAGGTGAAATGGAGACAATAATGTTTATCCTTCGGGATGATTTGTACAATTGTTTTAAATTTAAAAATTCTGCAAATAATGTGTTACTTTAGGGAGAACACAGCAAATGTTAACTCTGACTGCTTGGTGATGGGGTAGGAGGACTACCAGTGATAGTACAAGAGATTTTGGCCTTTATGCTGTGTAGTCCAAACTTTTGCCTTTCAACAAGATGTCAGAATGAGTGTAGTGGAAAGTCAGGCCATTATTGCTCTCTGGGTACAAACTTTTTCCAGACTCTGATAAAAACTATGAACTTTTTCCAGAAAACTCCCCACACAGAATTCTGAAGACTTCTCGAATCCCACTTCCAGACCTCAGTTTTAAGAATCTTAAACTATAAAAATCAATAAGCAAAAGTTATTTGAATAAAAATAATGCTAATTATGGTTACTTATACAAATAGCTTATATTTCCATGCCATGTGTATAATAACTGTTTTGCAAATAATCATGCCATATTAACTTAGGTATAAATTTGATTTGTTATAAAACTAGATTGCTAATATAGGCTCAACCTTTATCATTTGTTGTTCAAGTGTCACAGTGTTGTTTATTCACAGTTTTTAAAAATTTGTTTTTTTGAGACAGGCTGCTCAAACTCTATTTTTTTAATTTCAAGATACTTTATTTTCAAAACAGGTTACGACACTAAGTTTTTGACCCATTCTCCTAATGTACAAGTTACAAATGTTTGCTCAGCAGCTGAGAGCCACTCTTAGCAGCATGTTGGAAAAGTGAGTGAAAATCCATGTAAAACAAATACTTAGTTTCCATAGGAACACAGATAAGTGTGACCCCCCCATCTCCTAGCCTACTATTATTGCTGCATCTGTGCCAACCCTATTTTTACAAAGACATATCAAAACTAACAGTAATTAAGTTAAATGGTCTCCCCAAATCTTTTAACTCAAGCTATACTTGCAGTTAACAGCTACAAGAATGGTATCTACACAGAAGCACAGGCTAGTAGAAGAACAGGCTGCTGGGTGACGCTCCATCCTGCTTTCCTGAGCACGAGACATGAGCAGAATCAGGCTGCTCAAACTCTTGGTCTTACTCCCTTCATCTCTCCAGTGCTGGGATTACAAACCTGAGCCACCATACACCAACTAGTCACAACTTTAAAAAGAAAACTTGAAGTGATTGTTTCTTTCTTTCTTTCTTTCAAAGAAGTTAAATGCTCTGTCTCCATGGGTTTATAGACTAAAATAACTATTTCTCAGATTGGAAATTGCATGTTCTTATGGACTAAACAGGTAAGAGGCTATGAGTCAGGTTGGAAGGTATTGGGCTTCAAAAGACAGATGAACCTGTGTTAGAATTCCATTTTACTACAGTACAATCTTAGCAAGCCCTTTAACTTCTGGTCTTTATTAACTTCATCTGTTAAATGGGACTAAAAATCCCTACTTGAGGGGTTTTTGTGAGGATTAGGGACAATGCTAGTGACCAGGCTCTGTTTAGTCCTAAATAAAAGGTGTTACTTATTATGAGTCCTTGGTGTTACACAACTAGCAGCTAAGGTGCTCAGGGCTTCTAATGCCATACAATCAAACTGACATGAGATTTCTGAATTCAGGAGACAATTGCTTACTCTGTTGGGGGAGTAGCAGATGTCAGATGTTGACATTGCTAAGGTGCCAGAATTGCAGTTATATTGTTTCCTTCCTTTGATAGACCAATGAACCATGACTTCTGAATGTCACTTTGTTGGTTTTTCAGGGGACAGTGCAGAACGTAAACTGACTTAATAATCCAATACTAACATGCCCAGGGGAAGAACCAGTTCATAAAAACATCTTTTCCTTCCTCACTGCTGGCTTCTTTGTTTTTACTGTTGGTTTCCTTGTTTTTTTTCCCTCTGGCTCAGTGAATACCAACACGACAAGTAATAAACCTGACACATTTTTTTTTTCTTCCAAGAATATGCCTTCGTGTCTGCTTCACATAACCTTCCCTGACTTTTTTGAGAATAATGGGTGCATTTTTTCAAGTCACATTCACCGGTTTTCAGGCCAAGGTTTTCACGTGTTGGGTGGAAAGACAGTGTCTCATAGTGGAAAAAGCGGAGGGTGAGGACTCAGGTCACCTGGGTCTGGCCGCCATCACCCTTTCTGTGTCTGTATGAAGTGGGCTGATGGCTGTGCCTGTTTCCTCATTTGTACAGCGTGTCAGAGCTGGCCTCGGGTGTGAGGGAGCTTCGCTCACACGCGGTAAGCGAGGGTTTGGAGAACGCCTACTGCAGCGCACCTGAGCGCACTACGGCGCCGCCTGCAGGGCTGCACCTGCAAGGGACTGACTGCGGCGGAACTGCGGGTTGCGCGCGCAACGCCTCCGCAGCTCTTCCCAATCCAGCGTCTCGTTGCCAGGGAAACTAGAGGCGGCGCGCTTTCCGGCTCAGTCGCACGCTTCGCGGCTGTCATGGCGGAGACTGTGTGGAGCACGGACACCGGAGAGGCCGTGTATCGCTCCCGGGACCCTGTGCGCAACCTGCGCCTCCGGTAGTCGCACCACCCCGGCCCAGGGGCCCCATGATTTTATGCTGTCAGATACTTTTTTTCCCGAGCTTCCCACTTCCGCTTGCAAGCCCGGCTAGTTCTTTCTTCATCTGCGCACTTGCTCTACTACCAAGACCTTTCCCACTCGAAACCCCCAAGCATACCTTCTAAATCCACCCAAGTCTTTTCAAGTCCTTGTCGCTTCCAAATCCATCAGAGCCCTGTGTCCCCAACACACCCTCTAGCTTCTTGGTTGGGCCTCACACCCCACCCAACTTCTCTCATCCCAGCACCCCTTTGGCAGCTCCACCTCTGTGTTGTTTCCCTCATCACTGCTGTGTTCATCTCCTGATGTGTCCTGTAACCTGTATTTTGGGCTTCTCTTTTTTTTGACAGAGTTCATCTGCAAAGAATCACGTCAAGCAATTTCCTTCATTATCAGCCTGCTGTACAGCCTGGGAAGGACCTCATAGACTTGGCCACTTTTAGGCCTCACCCAACTCCCAGTGGGTGTTATGGTGGTGATGCAGCCCCTTGGGGTTTGAGAAAAGGTCTGGGGGCAGTAGAGGTATCACCTAAAACAAAGTAAATCAAGGTTTGTGGTCTTAAAAGAAACCCAAACCTTTTTGGAGAGGTGAAATGGAAGGTATAAAGAGGTAGATTTCCTTGTCGGATATCCCACAGATGTAAATGTTGGAGCTAGGATTCAAACCCAGCAGTCTTATCTACTACATCATATTGTGTATGAAAATTGAATAAGACATGATTTCTGCTATCAGGATACTGATCCAAATTGTGATTCAAATGTAAAATAACAAAGTACATATGTAAACACTTTTCAAAACAATTTTAAAATTGGAAACTACTTGAAAAAAATGTGCATATGAACATTACCTGTGTTCTTGTTATTTTCCTTTTCTGGGGAGCCAAAAGAGTGAGGAAGAGAGAACAGAGTTGCTTATGTTAGTTGCCAATCTTTCTGCTTTTTGGGGTTTCTCTTTCTATTCAGAAATATTCCTGGGCAAGAGGGTGGGCTGGTGGGGCATGAAGCATACATCTCTGAAAAAGGCAGACTCAGCCAGGAATGTATTAGATTTGATTTTTAAAAAAATCATTTGCCTTCCCTGTCCTCTCCTGATGCTTGGTCTCCTAAGTTATAATGTTTATGATTGTATTTATGACTTCAAGAATGGGAAAGATAAAAATGCCAGGGTTTTTATCTAGCAAATATAGATAGGATTGAGGAAGGGCTGGCTTTTCAGCCTATATCTGAAACTCAGTTCCTGATACTAAATTAGTTCAAATATTTCCTGAAAGGTGGGACTGCTTTTTATTTAAATTAGTGATTAAGACGTGTTTGGTTTTAATTTTGCCTACTGCTTATACTAACCAGATTGTATCCACAGCCTCTTTAGCCTGAAAGGCCATCTAGAGTGAATGCTTAATCACTGAACTCCAGTGGGTTTTCTAGCAAATATGAGAGTAGGGTCTTTGGAGATGGGCATGATAGTACATTCCTGTAATCCCAGCATTTAGAAGGCTGAGGTAGTAGGATCTTGAGTTTGAGGCCAGCCTGGGCTATGTAGCAAGACCCTTCTCAAAAACAAAACAAAACAAAACAAAAGAATAGGGATTTTGATTATAATCAACCACAGAGCATGAAGTAGTGCTGGTTTGATTCAAGTTTTGACTCACTCTACTGTGTTTGAAGGTGGACACCGCCCAGATGAAGATGAAGAAGAAGAGGTTGTGATTGGATGGCAGGAGAAGCTCTTTAGCCAGGTAAACCAGTATCTCTTGTCTGTTTGATCTACCTCCATCTACTCTACTTTTGCCTAGCTAACTGATTTCCAGAAATGTTGTGACAATTTATACTTTTCTTTATTTTGTGTACAGGGCAACATAACATAGTAACTGCCACTACTCAGTTTTATGATCCTGAGTAAGGCACTTTTCACCTGTGGGCTGTATATGCCATCCATTTGTCACAGCAGAGTTGGATTAGACAGTAACATTCTTGGATGCCCTGCCCTCCGTTATTTAAAAAAAATTAGAGTTGGTTGTGAAAACATATCAAATGGCAGATCGGTAGAAATGATTTGGTTAAATAGTTATAGGAAAAAAGTTTGATGTAGATGTGTTTCTTGACCTCAGTTTGAAGTAGATCTGTACCAAAATGAAGCAGCATGTCAAAGTCCTTTGGATTATCAGTACCGCCAAGAGATCCTGAAGTTGGAGAATTCTGGTGGCAGGAAGAACCGACGAATTTTTACCTACACGGACTCTGATAGATACACCAACTTGGAGGAGGTATTGTTCTTTCCGAGGCAACCCAGTATCCTTCTTTGACTCGTTGAAATACAGTGGGCACAGTCTGCAGGTGGTGTGACTGCTACACTCCTCTGCCTGATGGAGGATCTAGAGGAGCTGGCAGTGTGCAAACTGGTGGGTGGAATCTAGAACAATCTAGATAAAATTCAGCCAAAACTCTTGAGTTTTGAAAAGGAATAGTTAGTATAAACATGGGGAATGTCTGTGTCCTCAATATGCCTATACCAACTCGTGTTTCTTGATTTGTTTTACATTTTCTTCAGTGATAGTATGTGTTCTGTCTTCTTAGGGAGATTTTAAACACCTTGAGGGTAGAGCCTATGTTTGGGGGCGGGGAGTTTGGTCTATGGTCCTATAGATGTCTGGATGCTTTCTTTAGGAGAGTTATGGAATAGTATCAGATAAAATTTGGGTTATCAGTTTTGGAAAAGCAAATAAAAATATAGTTAGTGCTTTGTTACCCATGTGAGGATTTTCCACAAAGTACTTTTATTCCATTTGGCATTTTCCCAACTAACTAGCTAACTTTAATATCTACTAGGCAAACTAACCCAACTTTTTATTGGCATATGCTCGGAGAATGCAGACCGATTTTAATATTGGTATAGATAAGTAATTTCCAAAATCCTACAGTAAACCAAGACATGGTAGGAATTTTTTTTTTTCTTTTGAGGTACTGGAGTTTGAACTCAGGGCTTCATGCTTGCTAGACAGGTGCTCTACTGCTTTAGCCAAGCCTCTTGCCTATGAGTTGTTATTATTATTATTATTATTATAGAAATCTTTGTTGTATCACTGTTCCCCTCTATTAGCATGCGTAACTGTGAACGTGTACCTGTGAGGTTCAAGTCCAGGAGGAGGTCTCAAGAGAAAGACTTCCCTTCAGGTGCTTGGCCCCAAGTGGCTCTGACTAGATGGCTTTCAGTGGGTTGTTCTCTTTCCCCAGCACTGTCAGAAAATGACCACTGCAGCCAGCGAGGTACCATCATTTTTGGTTGAGCGAATGGCAAATGTCAGGCGGCGACGGCAGGATAGGAGAGGAATGTGAGTGCAAGTGTATGTGACAGGGTGGGGGCATAAGGGGTCTTTGTGGTCCTTTCCTGATGGTATACTCAGTATTTCCACTGACTCAAGCTTCCCGTTTTTCTATGGACTTGTACTGGGTTGTGCTTCCCTATGTTCCTCTTCAGATTCTTCAGGGGGTGCCAGGGAAGTGACCCCTTCTCTGGTCCCTCCCAGGGAGGGTGGCATCCTCAAGTCACGCATTATTACCTGGGAGCCTTCAGAAGAGTTTGTCAGGAACAACCATGTCATCAATACCCCTCTTCAGACAATGTACATCATGGCTGACCTGGGACCCTATGGAAAGTGAGTGAAGCTTCCTCTTCTGTCATTAACTGTCATCTTCCTGTTACTGTCACCTGGGGTATATGGAAGGGAAGGAGAGTCTTCTTTGTTGTACTCAGAAGAAATAATTTTATCACAATAGTTTTCACTATATCCTTTGTCCTCTTTCCTGAAGCTGGCTGACTACCTCTTCCTCTTTTCCTGGAGGTGGCACCAGTGATCCTGAACCTTGATGTTGATTTCCTGGTTCCTAGGCTTGGCTATAAGACGTCTGAACATGTGCTGTGTACTCTGAAGGTGGACAGCAATGGTGTGATCACAGTAAAACCTGACTTCACTGGTCTCAAAGGACCCTACAGGTGGGGAGAGGTGAAAAAAAAAGGGTGGCAGAGACTGGTATTCCTTCCCTGGCTTCCCTCCTTGTCCTTAGTTGAGCAGATTTCCAGAAAACCCTTTATCTATTCTCAAACTTTTAAATTCTCAGGCAATGGTTCATACTCTATTCTGGATCATAAGCCTTAGGAAACTGTCAGAAAATGTGCAGTTGAAAGGAATGTGCAATTTGAAAGGAATCACTTTAGCAGTGTAGTTAAGTGAAGAGGATTCTCTATGCTGCTGCTTGTACAGACTGACCAGAACAGGGGAGGTGAACTCAGCCAAGCTGAGTTGACTCTTCCTCATCTCTGTGTCTGAGATAACAGAACTGTAAGTTAGAAATTACCTGGACCAACTGTCCCTTTTCCTGGTAAGTGAACTTAGTGCCAAGGACGTCAGGTTTTAGGGTTTCACTATGGATTCAAGATGGAAATGGGCCCAGAATTTTCACTCTCTGAGTCTAGCCTGGTGCCCTTTCTGCTTTCCACTTTGTTTCCCTCTCCTGGTCATCATTTGGGCCAACTTCATCATAGTACACTTCAAGTGAGCTGTGTGGCCAGTGATAGTGAATCCCTGGGCAAGGTCTGGAGGGCTTCATCTCTTATCATCAGAGGTGGTCCTTTTGTGGCTTTGACCTTACAGAATTGAGACTGAGGGGGAGAAGCAGGAACTGTGGAAGTATACAATCGACAATGTGTCCTCCATCGCACAGCCAGTGGAGGAGGAACGGGAACGGCGTGTATTCAAGGATGTAAGAGCTGTTCTTTCCATGACCCAGGGGGAGGAGCCCCAGTGCCTGGAACTGAGGCCATGTCTGAGTTGGATGTTGATGGTTTCAAGGAAGAGTTTTGCCCTTCATAGCCCCTCCTCCAACCCAGGAAGCATAACTGACATAGCAGACAGAAGACTTTGATCCTGTTGCCACATAATAATAACAATGGCCATTTATTTGAGCCTTGACCATGCTCTGTGCCAAGCACTTCACATACATTTCATTTAGATCTTACAACAACCCTTTGAGGTGAGCACTTTTATTATTACCATTTTATAAATGAGAAAACTAAGACTGAGGAGCCAAGTAGACTCAGAGCTTGTGTTTATTGTCACAGGGTTAGAATTTAGTCCCAGACTAGCCAACTCCAGAGCCTCTGTGCTTCACTTTAAAATGTCAGTGACTGGGATGCTTAGGCCACCCACTCACACTGGCCTTTCCCATTACTGCCTCTTTTCTCCCTCCCATTCAAAACTGAATCCTGGTCTGGCTTGGGCTATATCTTAATGTTTGGTTTGGTTTGTTTCCTCAGCTTTATGTCCGACACAAGGAGTATCTCAGCAGCCTTGTGGGCACTGACTTTGAGATGGTGGGTAGCTTGGCTTCCTGCAGTGCTGTGAGCTGTGTTAGCCAAAGTGTTCTGACTGTGAACAAGTGATCATGTTCCTCTTAAAGGTCTCCAAGACATACCCTGCAGTGTAAAAAGGAAGTAAAAAAAAGTGATTTAAGACACTGAATATAGAACTTTAATGCATAAAAGGTTTGAAAGCATACAAACTAGAGATAATGTGGTATATGGGTATTGGGTGGTGAGAAGAATATATCAAGGACTTGTACCTCATGTTCCCCAAATTTAAGTGGTTTTGAATTTTTATCAGTAATGCATTCATGTTATTACTTTATAATTAATTTAAAAATGTATATAAAGATGAAAATATCTTCTTTACTCTTCATGTGGATAGTTTTCCAAAATGCTCCATAGAGTTGGAAGGGGTATCATATCTTCTTGTTTACGAAAACAATTTAAGTTAGTTATTCTGGGGTCCTGTTCTATGTCTTCCCTCATTCTAGGAGTTACATTTCTAGCTGTAAACAAAGATGGAACTACCCACTATTTTTCCCTATCTCTGTCTCTAAAAAATCAACTTGTATTATTTTCAAATTACATAAGCAACTGTCATGTTAAAAAGTTAGTTAAGACAGATATACAAATAATTTAAAAGGAAAACTCTTAGCTTTTTGACCTCAGCCATCTAAAGAGTCTCAGCTTCCATTGTACACCAGAGGTGCTCTAGTTGCTTCCTTTGGTAATTTCCCATACTGAATTGCCCTCCCTCTCTGCCATTTCAATTATGTGCTTTTCTCCTATGAAGTTTAAAAATGAAGGCCCCAGTTCTGTGGAGAAGTGTCAGGGTGGGAAGAAAATGTAGTAGTGTGGTCCAGGGTTCAGTGTCCAGTGTAGATCCTCTGTAGATTTGTGGGTAGTACTGGAGAACTGCTGATTCCCTCCAGGCCCTCTGATATTCTCCCACTTCTCTCTAACTTAGACTGTTCCAGGTGCCCTCCGGCTCTTCGTAAATGGAGAGGTAGGTAAGTATCTTACCAAACAGAGATCTCTTGATGCTTAGGTGACAATCTGATGAAGCTGTGAGTACTCTACTCTACTTTAAGTTACTCCATACTTTGGGTTGTATGAAGTACTTGGGAAACTTAGTGACGAGTCTTTTCTGGAAACACAGGATTTTGGGCCCTGAGAACACTTATTTCCAGAACATGTCCTGCCTCTCAGGATTGGGTTGGATGCTAAGGGTAATAGGAGAATAAACTAAAATAAACTAAATAACTAATAAACTAAAATAATTTCCTGGTTTTTTTCTTAGTTTCAGCCCAAGGCTATGAGTATGACAATCTCTACATCCACTTTTTTGTAGAATTGCCAACCATTAGTAAGTAATATCCGTATGTCTCTCCTTTTATACCTATCCTGATAGTTCTAGTGACATTTGTTCAGCTTCCTTCCCCATTCCCTCTGAAACCAGTACTATTCGTTTCAAGGTTATAGATCACTTTTATGTTGCCAAAGCCAGTGGTGACTTCTCTTCTTTTATATTACTTGACCTCTGTGAAGCATCTGACATAGTTCACTTTTCTTCATGTAACACAGCTCTTGACTTTGGGCTCCATACTCCTTTCTTCCATTTTATTGAGGGGTTTATCAGGCTCATCAGGTTCATCAGGCAGAATTCTGGGTGTATTTTTCCTCTTCTGTTGATCTTCAATTATGAGAGTATCCAAAGTGGAATCTAGGCCTCTGCTGCTCTCCATCCATAGTCTTCCTAGGCGATCACATCCATCCTGTGGTTCAAATTCCACTATGTGTTGCAGATTTCCAGATTCTTGTCTTTAGCCTTAACTTCTTCTTTAACTCCAGACTATATTCATGTACCTCTCATTTCTGTTTAACATTACCAAGAAGTAGTCTTGATTCTCTCCTCTTCCCTTAAACCTTCCCTTCTGATCTTCCCCATCTTAGCAAAATGGCAATGTCATCCACTTAGTTGCTGATTCCAAAAACCTAGGAGACATTGGCAGTCACTTACTTTCTCTAGCTCCGAATAACCAGTCAGTCCATCAGGTCTGTCAGCTGTCTTCAAAAACTGTCCTGTGGGGCAGAGTGGGTGGTGACGGAGCGGGTAGGGGCAGGGGGGAGAAATGACCCAAGTGTTGTATGCACATATGAATAATAAAACAATAAAAAAACCCAAAAAAACAAAAACTGTCCTGCATCTGTCTCTTCTGTCTATCATCCTGCATCTGTCTCTTCTGTCTATCATCCTACACCAAGCCGCCAGTGTCTCTTGCCTGAGCCAGTACATTCTGTTTCTGACTTATCCTCTGCTTCCCGCCTTGCCATTCATTTGCTATATATACCATAGCCACACTGAACTTTTAAAAATGCAAACCAGACCTGAAATCCCAACAGCTTCTCCCCCACCTTAGAGTAAAATCCAGACCCTATCCATAAATGAACTGGCTCCTGCTTATTTCTCCTTACATTATTCCAGTTATTCTTCCTGTTCCTGCACATTGCCAGCTTCATTCTTACCTTGAGTCTTTTCAGGGCCATTTCTGTATCTGAAACCCTTTCTGCCTTATATTTTCATGGCTAGTTCTTCTTGAGCTTAGCTTTCATCCATGTCACACTTCTGAGAAACCTTTCACCCCCACTGTAAATGAGCCTCTTAAGTCAACCAGTGCCTTCACCCAGCTCTGTTTTCAGTGTAGCACTTATCACACCTGATAGCCTCTTGTAGGTATTGTCTGTCTCACCACTCACATGCAAACTAAAATATTAGCTCCATGACAGATCATTTCTACCTGGTCACCAAGATAGCCCAAGGCATACTAGCACATAGCAAACATTCAGCAAATGGAAAGTGAATGACATATTGTGTGACTTAGTGAATAAATAAATGGATTATGGAACTTTTGTCTTTTTCTCAGTGACTTGCTCTCTTCCCAGATGAACTTACTGTATCTGGTCTTTTGACTTTCAGACTGGTCAAGCCCAGCAGTCCAGCAGCTCTCAGGAGTAACACAGACCTGTGCTACCAAGTCCCTGGGAATGGTAAGGAGTATCAGAGAGGGTATCTGGAATGAACTAGCATATACTCCCAGGGTGGCTTTTGAAGCTTTATCAGGTCAACATGAGTGTACTCTGTGGAGGAGTCCTAGTTGGGCCTGACTCCTGTGTGGGCTCTGTAGGGCTTCCTGGGCCAAAGACCTCTCTTGATCTTTTTGAGAATGACAGCAGTTGTTTGTATTTGGCTGTCCCTTTGCCTCCCAGCCTCTTATTTCCTAGCAGGGTGAAAATTTTTCTTTTTCTTTTTTGAAGATGACCTTGTAATTGGTCACAAGGAGAACAATTTCCAGGTGAGGCCTTGTCCACCTTATAACACCAAGTATAAAGTGACACTCCTACTTTTTTAGGACAAGGTGGCTTACTTCTCCTACCCATTCACTTTTGAAGCCTTCTTTCTCCACGAGGATGAATCTGCTGGTAAGTAGCTCAGCAGTTGATCCTGGGCCTCAGTTCTCATCAGCCAGTGCCCCTTCTTGGCACAGGCTTCCTGTAACCAGGCTGTTTTCTCACTTGCTTCCAGATGCTCTCCTGGAGTGGCCTGTGCTCTACTGTGAGGTCCTCTCCCTGGACTTCTGGCAGAGGTATCGTGTGGAAGGCTATGGGGCTGTGGTGCTGCCTGCCACCCCAGGTAATCTCTTGTCCCTGACCTTCAGTTAGCTCATATGCCCTAAGTCCTAGAAGCAAGATTAATGCTCCCAGAAGATTGAAATTCTTCTGGTAAAAAGTAGGGATAATTAGGAATTCGGAGCATTTAACTCGGAAGATTCCTTGCTCCTTTGAGGAATTTCTCCTCCTCCGTTAGAGACAAGTAAGTGAAACTGGAACTAATATTCTGAAACTGAGCACCTGACACTCTCTGTTAGGTGCTCTGTATTCCACTGATTGGATGGATGACCTTGAGGGAGAAGCTGCATGGTAACAGGCTCTCAGCATATGTGTGTTGAATGAGTTGGCATTCATTTTGAAAAAAGGTGACGGTCTGTTACTTTGTGCCATGCCAGGCATTGTGCTAAATGCTTCTTAATTCTCCCAACCATTCTGTGAGGTGTAGGTGTTTCTTTAATTTCTATTTTACCAGGAAAAAGGAGAAGGAGACTTGTCTCAGGCACATAAGTGATTGCTGGCAGAGCTGAGATTTGAGGTTTTATCTGATTTCTGATTGATTTAAGGTACTCTTAATCAACATGTAACCTTCACCAGAGGTCAGGTGATCATCACACGGGGTGCTTTAGTGGCTTTGAGACCTGTGTCTTTTCTGGGGAGTCAGTATGAGGCCACATACCTTTTGTAGACCTGGCCCTCACCTTGTCTTCCCTTGCATAGGCTCTCATACCCTGACAGTCTCCACGTGGAGGCCTGTGGAGCTTAGCCCTGTGGCCGAGCTGAGGAGGTTCTTCGTTGGTGGTTCCCTGGAGCTGGAGGACTTCTCCTATGTGCGGATACCGGGAACCTTTAAGGTGACTTGTCTCTGTGGAAAATTCATGCTGAGAACTTATTTCCTGTTCTATTCTGTAGAAGGCAGGGTCTGGATTAAGGCCTATCCCTTAGTTGGCTGTCGCTTTAGTGCTACGTAGCTCCTTCTTTCCTAGAGCTCAAACTGGAAGTCATGGCAACATTTTGAATCAGGTACAAATATCTACACTGCTATCCTAGGAAGCCTCTGGGAAATAGTATACTTAGAGATTTTCTCCATCTCCACCAGAATAACAGACCTTGGTAATTGGATGTGGGGAGGATTTACAGGAAGCATGTAAACCTGCTTATTCTCAAACAAGGGTGGAGTGTTCCCTGAATTACATTTTGGAGCCTGGTGCTAGCCTTTTAGTGATTGGATGTGGGTGATAGAATGAGGTTTCCCTAAAAGAGCTGCTCTCCCCAAGAATGGGAATAAGAATGATAGTGAGGTCAGTATGGTGGCCTGCATCTAGAAACTGATGCTGTCTCCACTGCGTGCTCCAGGGGGAGCGCCTGAGCCGCTTTGGACTCCACACAGAGACCACAGGCAGTGTCACCTTCCGCTTGCACTGTCTGCAGCAGTCCAGGTGAGTGACCTTGGCCCTCTACCTTGGGCTCCTTGTCCCTGGTGGCTTGAGAGCAGCCCTGACCATGTGGTAGGCTTCCCTTCAGGGCCTTCTTGGAATCAAGCTCACTCCGGAAAAGGATGCGGAGTGTGTTGGATCGTCTGGAAGGATTCAGTCAGCAGAGTTCCATTCACAATGTGCTTGGTAGGTCCCTCCTGCTCCCAGGTGGCCATCCAGGGCCATGTTCTTCTCTGTGCCATGGCAGCTGACTACATAGCTGCATCTCCCTCCTTACAGAGGCATTTCGTCGAGCCCGGCGCCGCATGCAGGAGGCCCGAGAAAGCCTCCCTCAGGACCTAGTGAGCCCCTCGGGAACCTTGGTTTCCTAGCTCTCTGCAGCCCTGCCCTGGTGATGTAAGAGGACAAGATGATGGCTATCTGGAGCTGGCATTCTCTCACCTCTTCATCTTTCTTATTAGAGACCACATTGTCCTGCTGAGAACCTGTCGAGCTGGAAAATTCCCAGGGCTGGCCCCTCTGCCTATCCATCAGCAGGGTATTCTTCCTGCCATGTGGAAGTAAAGCCAGAGACCCTGTGGGCCCATGTAGCCCCATCTTCATATTTCAGCTACTGTAAATGAACATCATAGACTGGAGGCATGGCTGAAATGGTAGAGTGCCTTCCAAACAAGCACAAGGCCGTGAGTTCAAACCCCAGTACTACCAATGGCATCGTAACAAGGCAGGCTTTTTTTAAATCTGAAACTAGTTTGGGGTGAGCTCAAAATTAGTTTTTCCTTGACACAGCCTCTTTTCTGGGTTGTCACAAAGTCTTAGTAGCTCAGGGCTGTAGGACTCTTCTGTTCCACAGTCTTAAAAAGGAAGCCTGCCTTCTTCCAAGAAAGGAGTAGGGTGAGAGAGATCTCAAGTCCCTGGCCCATTATTCTTACCTCCTCTTTCCAGGGCAGCCTTGTTCTACTGCTTGGGGCTTGCTGAGTTTGGGATATGACTTGTTTCTGGAATAAATGAAGATCAAAAGCAGTTCCCAGTCCTTTCTGCTGGCTGGGTGGTATCTTTTATTATGCTTTTTTTTTTTTTGCACATAAAAACTATTTATATTAATTGATGTTCTGTGGGCGGTTATTCTTCCTGATGTTAAGCCTTCCCCTTTTCTGCCTTTCCCTAATCTTAGCAGCACTCTTCGTCAACATCTGGGGTGTAGCATGGAACTGAGGCCACACCCTCCCCAGCCCAACACAGAAGCAGCAGCCCCTTGTCCTTAGCAGTGCTTTATTGGTAGAAGCAGAGTATGTTGCCCAGCCTGCAGGCTCAAAGGAGGATTGTGGAGTGGTAACATCTTTTGGGACTACATAGTCTCCCAGTTTGGAGTAGTGGTGGTGGTGGGGAACAGAAGAACGTGCTGGATACACTCTAGTTGATTTTTGCCAGAACCCCAAGACCTTATGGCTTTGCTCACAAGTCCTTGCACCCGGTGTTGATTTAAAACCTAATTCCTAAGAGGATTATAAGGTGGGTGAATCCATTGCTACTAGGAGCCCTATCACTTCCAGCCAATGAAGCCAACTCTTGAGCTGTAACCAGCAAAAGCACCAGCAGGAAATGGTTGCTCCACGGAAGAAAACAGCTTCCTGGTGTTCCCCTTTCCCTTATCTCCAAGGGTTGGGGGCTGGGCATAGAAACCTATAGAAACAGCAGACCTGGATAAGTGAGGAATTTTCTGGATAGCCAGAAATGAAACTGTTTTAGGGCATTAGTGATCAAACTGAGAATAGTTGAACACTCCTAATTGTCCCCTGAAGTCCCAGGCCCTGGTACTATCAGCCCAGAATCTAGCACATTGGCAGTCACTAGGAAAGAGTATCATGTCTCTAGTGACAAATTCTGTTGTCTCTGCTTAGAGACATAAGAGGACTCAGCCATCCACCCAGGGAAGAATGTGAGGGCCCGACCTAGCCCAGACCTTTCCTTACCTGCACAAGCCTCATTTCCCTAGCCAGGCTGATAGGTTCAACCTGGGAATACGCCTGCAGCTCACAAAACCCTGGGGGTAGATGTTGGCCCTAAAGATGTTCCTTGGAACAGTGGTGATACCAGTATTGTCACACACAATTCGAGACAAGGAAATCCGGTTCAGGGCCCTGCGTTGTCTCTTGGTGAAAACACCCCATTTCTGCCACCAAAACCTGCCAGGCAGTTAAGAGATGTGGGAGAAGGTTGAGGAGGAATTACCTTATGATGAGCACCTGCTGTGTGCCAGGTACTTTACATAAAGTATTTCATTCAATTTTCACAAACTTCCTGCAAGTTTTATAAAAGAAGAAACAGGTTCAGTGGGTAAATAAATTGCCCAGGATTAAAAATGCACCATAAACTTAAATGGGCAGGACTGGATTTGAAGCCATACAAATGCCACCTCCTAATAAGGAGTCAGGTCTTAGAACACAAGCTTCCTGGAGGGAAAGCAGGTTTAGCCTCTTTGCCTGTGTCTTCTGGGATCTGCTAGCCCAGAACAATGAGGCTGGCAAGTCTCTGGCCTACTTAAAAAGTCTCCAGCTCAGGCAATGTTAGTCTTTCCTGGGTTAGCATCTCTGTCCCCCAGAACCACTTTCCAGGGAGGAGCCTCCTGGTCTCAGGTCCAGTGACCTTGGGAGAAAGAAAACTAAAAAAAGGCACTTTTTTTTTCTACCTTTGGTGTTGCTGATTTTTAGGGTAGCATCACTTACCTGTCTCCATCTCTGGCTCTTCTAAACTGGTTCTCAAAAAGACAAGCCAGAAGAGGCCCCACTCGGGCTCCTGGCAGAAAGGGCTCTGCAATGGCCCCAATCCAGATGTCAATGTTGTCAGGTGTCCCATACAGATTCAGGAACTTCCTTGCCAAATTTTGGTTTTTCAGCACCTGACTGAGTTGTGCCAAGTTCCGGGGCTGGGAGAGCCCGCAGAAGTGCCTCCATGCGTTGTACCCTGCAGGAGAGGATAAGAAGCAGCTTCAATCTTGTCAATCTTCCATTAGTTTCTGCTCCTCTCCACAAGTCCTCCTGTCAGCATTGGATGTAACAAAATCTCTGCTTATCAAAGCACCAGATCTCTGTCTTCTAATCTAAAATGTGAGACCTGATACCAACCCTCCTTAAAGTGTTCCATGAAATAGAAAGGGAAGGAAAACTGCCTAATACATTTTATGAAGCCAGGCAAAGACTTATCCCAAAATCAGGCAAAGACACCTCCAAAAAGGAGAACTGTAGGCCAATTTCCTTAATGAACATTGATGCAAAAATCCTGAATAAAATAATGGCAAACCGAATTCAACAACACATCAAAAAGATCATTCACCACGACCAAGTAGGCTTCATCCCAGGAATGCAGGGGTGGTTCAACATACGAAAATCAATAAACGTAATAAACCACATTAACAGAAGCAAAGACAAAAACCACTTGATCATCTCAATAGATGCAGAAAAATCCTTTGATAAGATCCAACACCATTTCATGATAAAGGCTCTAAGAAAACTAGGAATAGAAGGAAAGTTCCTCAACATTATAAAAGCTATATATGACAAACCTACAGCCAGCATTATATTTAATGGAGAAAAACTGAAACCATTCCCTCTAAAATCAGGAACCAGACAAGGATGCCCACTATCTCCACTCTTATTCAACATAGTACTGGAGTTCCTAGCCAGAGCAATTAGGCAAGAAGAAGGAATAAAAGGAATACAAATAGGTAAAGAAACTGTCAAAATATCCCTATTTGCAGATGACATGATCCTATACCTTAAAGACCCAAAAAAACTCTACTCAGAAGCTTCTAGACATCATCAATAGCTATAGCAAGGTAGCAGGATATAAAATCAACATAGAAAAATCATTAGCATTTCTATACACTAACAATGACAAACTGAAAAAGAATGTATGAAAACAATTCCATTTACAATAGCCTCAAAAAAATCAAATACCTAGGTGTAAACTAACAAAAGATGTGAAAGACCTCTACAAGGAAAACTATACACTTCTGAAGAAAGAGATTGAGGAAGACTATAGAAAGTGGAGAGATCTCCCATGCTCATGGATTGGTAGAATCAACATAGTAAAAATGTCTATACTCCCAAAAGTAATCTACATGTTTAATGCAATTCCCATCAAAATTCCAATGACATTCATTAAAGAGATTGAAAAATCTACCTTAAATTTATATGGAAACACAAGAGGCCACGAATAGCCAAGGCAATACTCAGTCAAAAGAACAATGCTGGAGGTATCACAATACCTGACTTCAAACTATATTACAAAGCAATAACAATAAAAACAGCATGGTACTGGCACAAAAACAGACATGAAGACCAGTGGAACAGAATAGAGGACCCAGATATGAAGCCACACAACTATAACCAACTTGTCTTTGACAAAGGAGCTAAAAATATACGATGGAGAAATAGCAGCCTCTTCAACAAAAACTGCTGGGAAAACTGGTTAGCAGTCTGCAAAAAACTGAAACTAGATCCATGTATATCACCCTATACCAAGATTAACTCAAAATGGATCAAGGATCTTAATATCAGACCCCAAACTCTTAAGTTGATACAGGAAAGAGTAGGAAATACTCTGGAGTTAGTAGGTATAGGTAAGAACTTTCTCAATGAAACCCCAGCAGCACAGCAACTAAGAGATAGCATAGATAAATGGGACCTCATAAAACTAAAAAGCTTCTGTTCATCAAAAGAAATGGTCTCTAAACTGAAGAGAACACCCACAGAGTGGGAGAAAATATTTGCCAACTATACATCAGACAAAGGACTGATAACCAGAATATACAGGGAACTTAAAAAACTAAATTCTCCCAAAACTAATGAACCAATAAAGAAATGGGCAGTGAACTAAACAGAACTTTCTCAAAAGAAGAAATTCAAATGGCCAAAACACATGAAAAAATGCTCACCATCTCTAGCAATAAAGGAAATGCAAATTAAAACCACGCTAAGATTCCACCTCACCCCTGTTAGAATAGCCATCATCAGCAACACCACCAACAACAGGTGTTGGCGAGGATGGGGGAAAAAGGAACCCTCTTACACTGTTGGTGGGAATGTAGACTAGTACAACCACTCTGGAAAAAAATTTGGAGGCTACTTAAAAAGCTAGACATCAATCTACCATTTGATCCAGCAATACCACTCTTGGGATATACCCAAAAGACTGTTACTCCAGAGGCACCTGCACACCCATGTTTATTGCGGCACTATTCACAATAGCCAAGTTATGGAAACAGCCAAGATGCCCCACACTGACGAATGGATTAAGAAAATGTGGTATCTATACACAATGGAATTTTATGCAGCCATGAAGAAGAACGAAATGTTATCATTCGCTGGTAAATGGATGGAATTGGAGAACATCATTCTGAGTGAGGTTAGCCTGGCTCAAAAAACCAAAAATTGTATGTTCTCCCTCATATGTGGACATTAGATCAAGGGCAAACACAACAAGGGGATTGGACTATGAGCACATGATAAAAGCGAGAGCACACAAGGGAGGGGTGAGGATAGGTAAGACACCTAAAAAACTAGCTAGCATTTGTTGCCCTTAACGCAGAGAAACTAAAGCAGATACCTTAAAAGCAACTGAGGCCAATAGGAAAAGGGAACCAGGAACTAGAGAAAAGGTTAGATCAAAAAGAATTAACCTAGAAGGTAACACCCACGCACAGGAAATCAATGTGAGTCAATGCCCTGTATAGCTATCCTTATCTCAACCAGCAAAACCCCTTGTTCCTTCCTATTACTGCTTATACTCTCTCTACAACAAAATTAGAAATAAGGGCAAAATAGTTTCTGCTGGGTATTGAGGGGGGGGAGCGGGAGGGGGTGGAGTGGGTGGTAAGGGAGGGGGCGGGGGCAGTGGGGAGAAATGAACCAAGCCTTGTATGCACATATGAATAATAAAAGAAAAATGAACAAAAAAATCTACTGCTTTTTCTCTACTTGGAAAGTCCTGATCTTCCTTTTTTGCTCCTGTGCCTGAGTCCTGGTCCTGTGGTGAAACTAAAGCTGGAGACTTAATGGCAGATGGGACAGAGTTGATGGGATGGCAAACAACGGTCCCCAGGGGGCTTTGGCCCATCAACCTCAGCCTTGTGTGCTCTGCACCACTGCAAATCCTGTAGACAGTCTCTGTCAGAAACGAGGCCTCTCCAGGTCCTCTCTGAACACCTGGAGGAGCTCCAGTCTGAGTGACCCCCTAGGAGGACAAGCAGGTACCCCCTCACCTGGAAGGCCATGGTCACGGCTCCGTTGCATGTTGAGAGCTGCCAAGTCCAGTCCAATTCTTTTCACTTGCTGAAATAGCTGGTCCCGGAGCTCATCCACCAACATGGAATCTTGACGGTTCAACTTGGCAGGGGTGGCCATAAGGCCTCGGAGGATGGGGTCAATGCCACCTGGTGATGGGGAATGAGAGGAGCATTGATTGGGCCCACTTTTGGGAAGCTCTTTGGGTCATTCCATAATACCAAACTAGCTCAGAGCTGGACAAGCTAGTCACTTACATTCTCTAATGTTTTTCAGGACACAGAGGCCTGGGTAGACATGAGGAGCCTGGAGCTTGGAGGGAAGGGGGTCACCCCACTTCTTAAAGATGGAGTGGGAGACTGGCAGAGTGGCTCAAGTGGTAGAGCACCTGCCTAGCAAGCACAAGGCCCTGAGTTCAACCCCCTAGTACTGCAAAAAAATGAAATAAAAAAATAAGAAAAAGAAAAAAGTGGAAGGTGCGCTCCTTGCAGTCCCATAGCACACCACTCTGACATCATTCTTATCCATCTTAGAAATTCCCACATCCCCAGGGTATGGAGGCCCATGCCAGAGGGTCTTGCTGGCCCTGCCTTCTTTTTGCTATCCTGGGCAGGCTTTAGCAGTGGCTTGGGCAGCAGCCTGGCCTCCAAGCAGCAAGCTGAGCCCACCCGGGGAAAGGAGTGCTTGCCACTCTCACCCCCCTTAGCCTCTGGAAAACCTGATCACCTTCATGCACAACGCGCCAGCTAGCAAAGAAGACGGTGCTAAGCAGAGTGTGGGAATTGGGTGCTGAGGCCCGGTATTGGCTGTCCAAGCGGAACATGAAGGGCTGTAGCATGGTGTGGCCGAAGCGGAAGGCCAGGGTGAAGACATTGGCCACACGTGGGTCCACATTGGAGCAGTAACCCCTGTATGGCCCCAGGGTTTTTCTGGCCCGGGCCTTGCCCAGAACCAGGGGCAGAAAGTCTCGGTAGGTGATGATCTGGGTAAGAAGACACAGAAGGAACATTGCCTGAGCAGTTGCCCAGCCCACCCTCACTTCCTGACAGACTCATGCTTTTCAAAGCGCTGCTCAACATAGTTAAGTACTTACTGTCATCATGTCAAATATGATAATTTCCCCATTAGAGAATGAAATACTGAAGTCCAGACAGTTCGAGTGTCATGGGTAAGGTCAAAGTGAGTTAGTGGCAGAACCAGGAATAGAGGTACACTCCCAATCACCCAGACTCTGCTGGCTTGAGGCACATTACATACCCCAAGGAAGGCGGGAACCACTCCCTTAAATCGCTCCTCAGGCCAGGTAGTCTTCTGGGGCATCCTGGGACCCAGGGCTCCCTACCTGGACCATGGCCCCCACAATCTTCCGGGCCTCGTTGTAGAGCTTGTCTCCACTCCAGTGGGGATTCAGTCGTCTTAGCTCCATGGCCAGTCGGTTGTGTTCTCGCACAAAGAGGGTATGCATGGCCGCCAGTTTGGGGGTTTCACTTGCGCGGGAGTCACCTTGAAATCCCAAGTTCAGAGTTGCCACAGCCCTTCCCAGAGAGTTTCTGAGAGGGCAGGCTGAGGTCTGAGGCCTGGAGAGATGGTGTGGGCCAAACTTGGCCCTCACGGCACCTCTGTCTCCTCGGTAATAGCACTGACCACCACCCTCCTTCCCAGCACCACAGCCCAGTGAGGTCTTGGGTCCCTAAGTGGCTGGAACAGTTGAGGTTAGGTGGAAAGCACAGGACAACTGCTGATCTCAGGCAGGTAAATCTTTGCCTAATGACTGCACTCTACAAGATGACTAGATCCACAACCCCAACCAGCTAGCATGGGGGGACCTGAATGCATTTTGAGAACTTTGACTTTGGAATTGCACGCCCACCTATTTCTATCTATCGGCATGTTCTTTCCCATGGGATGTATCTTTTCCCATCTTTGCACTTGGTGTCATGCTGCTCTCCCCAGGGAGCCAGAAGGAAAGAGAAAGAGGAGGGTTTGGCCTGTAATTCCAGCTACTTGGGAGACAGAGATCAAAAAGGATGATGGTCAGAGGCCTGCCCAGGCAAAAAACATGAGACCCTATCTAAAAAATAACCTAAAACAGAAAGGGGATGGGGGGTATGACTCAAGTGGTGGAGTGCCTGCCTAGCAAATGTGATGCCCTGAGTTCAAACCCCAGTACTGTTAAAAAAAAAAAAAAGTCAAACAGAGCTCCATTCCTGTACCCAGGCCTTCTATAGATAGGCAAGGAAAGTCACCTGCTGACTTCTCACCAAACCCTTTTGCAAAGGTCTTGTTTAGATTATGCTTCAGAAGATCTCTCATGAAGGAGCATGCTGCTCTTCCCAGGACACAAAGATGTACAATCCTTGCAAAGTGAGGCTGGAGCCACTTAGCCTAAGGAGAGTGGGGAATGTAGCAGACAGTAGAGACAGGGGAACCACACTGACTGTCCCCATAGGGTTTCTGCCATTTGAAACTGTGCTTTTGAGCACATTACTTATTTTCCCTGAGTCTCAGCTTCTCATCTGTAAAACAAGAGTAGCAGTGATTCCCACCTTTCAGGGCTGCTGTGAAGTTTAGGGATGACCCCTTTAAATATTTTAAACAACCTGAAATGATTATCATTATATCCACACACATGGGGCCAAAGATTCTGAGGACAGTTCAAATTATGAATCCAGAAGAAGGTACCAGATGACAGTGTCTCGCAAGAGTGGGATGGGAAACAAAATATAGCCTAGAGAAGAGAAGAAACAGGTGCATGTAACAGCTACTTTTAGGCAATTAAAGCGTTATTGCTGTGTGAAAGAGAGACTTTTCTCTGAGGTTCCAGAAGCATGATAAGAGCAACAGGTATATATGCTAGTCAGCATTGCTGCCTGGGATAGGCTGGAGTGCCATTCTGGTGGATAGACCCTCATCACTGGAGATGGCCCAGCAAGGATCTCTGGTCACACACAGGGGATTGACAAAGGGACTCCTTCCAATTTACTGATTCTCTGGTGAGTATGTGCAGATCTGCGCCTGTGTTGTGCCTCATACTGAGGTCCCAAACCATGTCCCGTGCCACACATCCCACCATGGCCCCCAGTCCTGGGAAAACACCACCTTTCCCCAAGTCTGACCTGCCAGGAAGCAGGGGATGCTTGCAGAGCGGTTGGTGAGGAGACAGGGGTCATCGTGCATGTTGATGAAGGGCATCAGGGCCCTGCCGTTGTCATGGAAGCGCTGGTTGATGGCCAGCAGCCCTAGGTAGTTGGTCTGGTTGCGGAGTCTCAGGGCGAGGTTGACCTCGCTGCCATACACCATGCTGGCATCCAAGAAGGATGTAAGTGCATTGATCTGGTTGCGGACTTTGTTCCTGTTTTGGGGGCATGAGGGTGCTGAGCGGAAGAAGGGGATGCAGTCACGCCGGTCCTTGATGCGGGGGTCATTGGGCGGTATCTGAGGTGAAAAAGAGTCAATGATACTGGGGACCCTTAATAGCAGGCTTACTCCTCTTTGCCATCCCACAGTTCCCTCAAGACCTTTGCTCAAAACTCCCCTCCTTCAGGAAACCCTCTGTGACTCACCCAGACTCACTCTTTCACTCTGAGCTCCCTTAGCACTTTTGAAAACTTAAAAACGCATGAGGCTTTTGCAACAATTTAAAGTCTCATCTTACAGGAGACTGAGCCTCTGAGAGCAGAAGTGACAAGTAGTTGGTGGGAGAGGGGGGGTTTGAATTTACTTCTGGCATTTAGTCTTCCATTTACTTTGACAGACATTTCCTAGGCTTCTATCTTGCTGGGGGTTTTGGAGACTATGAAAGTCCAAGAGCTCAGTACAGGTTGCAGGAAGCTAGCAATGCTTCTGTAAAGATGTGTATGTGTGCATGCATGCACACACAGTTAAGTAATCTTAAATGGAGGTGGCATTTGCTGTGTGTGCTATAAAAGCCAAATGCTAAAAGTGTGCTAGGAAGACCTGGAAAGGCTCTGGCGAGGAAGTGCCCCTGCCCTAGGCTGAAGGAAGGGATAAGGTGGCAACAGGGAGGGCCTGGAGGGACCTCACGTGTCATCCCTCCTGAATGTCACTCCACCTATTGTGGATGAATGAACGAGTGTGTGTATGTGCAAGAGTGTATGCAGGCATGCTCCCTTCATCCCCAGCAGAGACTCTGCTCCCTTTTCTTGTCTAGTGTCCCACAGCATCCTCGCCTTCTAGCCTGAAAGAAAGGGCCCTGCTCACAACCCAAACCAGGTTCAGCAACAGTTGCAGGGCACTCGAACCATTCCAAGGAGAGCAGGGCAGTTGCTGAGACCCTAAAGGTTTCCAAAAGTAAGGGCCCAGAGGCCTCCTCTGTTGGAATCAGACTCATGGGTCAAGGCCTGTCTCCTCAGCTTCCCTCTCCATGAAGCTCCAATGGAACCTCTGGCAGACTGTCTAACTCCCACCCCTCAAACATGCACAGGCAGGAGTGTCTATGCCTGGCCCTGGATTATACTCCAACTCTACAGACAGGTCCTTTGGGCTTCCAGATTGCCACCTTAACCCTCTGCTTGGGGCAGAGTCCAGGAGCCTGGGAGATTGACTGAGGGTGGGGTACCTTGATGGGGAAGCAAGGGGGCAGCTGAGCACAGGTCTTCTCACAGTCCACGCCTGCAGTGAAGGTCACTCTGGCTGGAGACTCTGGGGAGAAGTCCAGGTCATGGTCAATGAACTGGCCCCACTGCATGAACATGAGGGACCGGCCCCAGTCGGATGCCAGCCTCTTCCTGGGGAAGCGTACAATCTGGTTGGATACAGCCCGGACCTGGAGGGGAAATAAGGTCAACACGGGGCCTGGGCTCGTGATCCTAGCCAAGTGCTGGCCAACCTAAGACCCAAGGGGCAGACCTTCCTTGCTGGAGTTGATGGAGTCTTTCCTTCTCTTCTGCCCTTCCTCCCCTTTCCTCCCTTGTCCCTGGAGATGGAACCCCCTCCTGTTGTGTTTGCCATTCCTTCAAGGATGGTCTCTAGCCTGGCCTGAGGAGTCCAGAAATACAAAGAAGGATTGGGGCCAGATGGCTGGCTCAGAATCCACCCATGCCTGACTCTTCCAGACAGGCAAATATATCCAAATGATAGATCACATTATAGACTGATAGATGATCAAACTAATTCATAGGTGCATGAACTAGTTGCAAAATGATGGCTAATAAATAGAGAATTGTCTAGAAAGATGGGAAGATCAATAGAAAAAAAATTAACAAATAATAGTTCTAGGTGGGTAGATGATAGATTATCATATTGACATATCAATAGAAAATTGATAATGTGAAATAGTGCAGATAGATAGATACAGCCAGATTAAGGTATATAGCCTTTATATTCAGTTGACACTAATTCTCTCTCTCACACACACAAAAGAAACACAACCTAATACTGTAATGACTAGCATTAAGAGATCAAGTCCTCTGGGCATGATGGTATACACCTATAATCCCAGCATTCTGGAGGCTAGGGCAAGAGGATCTTAACTCCAAGGCCAGCTTGCACTACACAGCAAGCTCAAGGCCAGTGTGGGCTATATATTGAGACCCTGCCTTAAAAAAAAGAGATATCATGTTCTATATATTGCTATTTATTATATCAAGGACTTCCATAGTCACACTAGCTCTTTTTCTGTCATTTTTACAGATGAAGAAACTGAGACTCAGAAAGTGGTGTTTTTTTGTTCAGAGTCACCCAGCTGGTCAGTGGGAGAGTCTGGTTTTGAGTCTTGTCTGGCTAACTCTGTGCTGTGTTTTACTCCCTGTATTTAAAAGAGATCAAGCCTCCTCCAGACCCTCTACTGTGACTCACAAGAGGGAGGAGGAAGCCATTGCGCCTCTTGCCGGGGGTCCAGCCGAAGGGGAGTGATACTCTGTCCTCATACTCAGCTGGCAGCCAGCGGGCCAGTGCCTGGTTGGAAGCTCCCAGCCAGGGTCTCTTCCTGCAGCAGTAATGGGTTAGAGTCAGCAGGGCTCAGGGCCTTTTCTGCTATGGGAGGGAGGGGGTAAGAGGGAAGGAAGGGCCCTGGGTCAGATGCAGTCTCCAGCACCCACTTGTTGTTGCATCTCCCAGTGATGGTGCGGTACTTGTTGCTGCATCTCTCAGCCTGGTCCTCAAATGCACAACCACTGGCCTGGGATAGCAGGTGCAACTGGGGTTCTGTGAGCACATCTGGGGGGCAGAGGAGTAGGGTTCTGAGTCCAGGGTCCTGGCTCCTTCCTGGGCTGGCTTTAACATACCTTTATCCTCTTCTCTCCTGGCACCAAGACCTCCCACAACTGGTTTCCTTCCACTTCCAGGCCAAGGCAAGCCCTGGGTCAATAGGGAGCATAGTACCAGTGACATTGAAGGGTCTGGATCCTTGTGGGTGTAGCTTCTTTTCCAGTAGCCCTAAGGCCACATGCATATAATCTGCAGCCCGAACAACTATCTTGGTGGTTGCTGTTGGCTGCTTGAAGTAGGCCAGGAGGTCCATGGGGCTGGCCAAGCCGTTGCGAAGGTGCTGCTTGATGCTGCCCCAAAGAGGAAAAGGAGGCTGGAGGAAGGTGCAGAGTCACCAGCAGAACCCCAGCCCAGTGGGGGCGGGGGCAACTGAGGATAGAGAAAGGGGTTTTCTCTACCAACAGTGGTACCCAGGGGTGGGTGTTGGATGAGAGGACCTTGGCTAGAGCCCACCTTCCCATGGGCCCTCCCAGATCTGCACATTCCCAGCCCCAGCCCCACCTCTTCTGAGTCCGATTGTAAGCAGTATCCACCAGCAACTTGGCTTCTGCTATGCAGTCCTGAAGGACTGAGGTCTCCACTGGCTCAGATGAGGCTGTTCAAAGGGATGGGGACTCAGCATCCAGGGAGCCACCCCCCAGACCCAAGTCCTCCCCACCTATTGCCCTTCCCTTGGACCGACCTTCTTCCTTAGCTGTCCAGGTGCTATTACCTGGGATAGTGCCCTCACAGGGCTGGATGAGGATGAATGTTGCTAGGACCCCTGCCAGAGCCAGGAGTAGCTGCATCTTGCAGGGAGACCAGCCACAGCCTCCACAAGAGCGTCCCCTCTCTCTTCTCACTAGGACAACTCCAGCTGACCTCTCACCTCCTCTTGCTCTTATCTGGAAGTAGCTGGGAAGGGACTTTTATAGCCCATCCTGGGGTTGGGGAGGGCAGCTCTCAGCCCCAGAAACCCAGCCCCTTAGGCAGAGCTCTGGAACCTCCCTCTGGTTTTCAGTGGAGCAGAGACTGAAACACCCAGTTCATCCTACCCCTCCCTCCTACTCTGCCCGACCCCCACCCTACACCCCTGCTCCATCCCAACCCTTTACTATGGAGTTCATGGATGTATTTCTCTCAGGGCCCAAACAGCACCTGGGACATAGGTGTTATACAATGTCTGAGGAGCCATGTGCTCAGAAGAGGATTGGGGTTGGCTCCACCACTCACTATAACCTTGAGCAAGTCACCTCCCCTCTCCAGACCTCAGTTTCCACATCCCTAAAATTGGAGGGGGGTCAGATGATCAGAAAGGCTCCTCTCCTCTCCCATCGGGGCGGAACTGGGTCTGCCTTATTATTTTATCCCCCATACTCAGCCCAAGGTCCAGCATTCATTAGAAAAGTGAATGAATAAAGTGTAGTCAATGATTCAGCCTCTACCATTACCTCCCGAGCCCTATCAGCTCCCTCCAAGATGCCAGAGAAAGAAGTTATGGCTGAGGTAGTGAAATATCTCCGGGGCCATTGAGGTTCCAGTGAGAGGTCACAGGGAAAACATGCCCGTGTGCAGTCTGTGTAAGAGCCGAGGTTCTGCTGGAGTTTTATGCTTCTTGAGGTGCTTCTTCAACACACAGCTATGGAGGGCTGATTCCGAGTAGAAGTTTTAAATTCTGAGTTCCTGTGGGCTTGCAGAGACAGCTTGCTGTAGTGAGTTCAGACTGACTTGGGTTTCAGGGTGGGTCTGTCACTAGCAGCATGACCTTGGGTGAGCCCCCATTTCTGTATTGTAAGTGTAGAATACACCTCTATGGGACCCAAGGGTCCATCCCTTTCATGCCTGTGTGTCTTCCTCTGAACTGGCCTGCTGACCCCATGCTGGCCTGCCTGGAAGGCATGGGCTCACTGATTTCAACTTCAGAGCCACCACCACTGTGCCCACAGGCTACCTGCCCTGGTCTCTTCATCAGGCAGACATATCCCTTCCTTCCTCAGTGGAATCCCGTACCAGCTTCAATCCCATCCTACCTCAGCCTGTTCAATGCCCTCCTCTGCCCTTCCTCCCACACCAAAGCCATCACCTTAACAGTTCCTCTTGAAACAGCCATTCAGGTTTGGTAATCCTTTTCAGTTGACAGTGAGGCTCCTATCTTATCTCCTATCTCCAGCAGAGGCCCCTGACCTATGTGACAAGGGGCCCCTGGATGGAAAGTCATTGAGCAGATGCTGAAAGCCTACTGAGTTCCTTGCTGATCCACTGTGTGACTTTGGGTAAACCACACCTTGGCTAGGCCTCAGTTTCCAAACCTTTGAGATGAGACAGCAGTCCTCATGAAGGAGAGAGATTCTAAAATTTGCAGTGTGCTCAACTGTGTTTTACCTCTCCTGCCACCAGGAGGCCCCAGGTGGAAGCTAGGTAGAATGAGTGTGCCCAGGTTACCCTTCTGCCAGGGTCCCTGTACCCAGAGTAATCTCTGCTCTCCCCTACAGAGCCTCTGCTTCTTCAGCAACCATGAACTTTGCAAAGGCTTGGCCACAGCTATGGGCTGTTGTGGGTTATTGGGACGAGCCCAAGACAGAACCCTGGGCTCTAGACCAATCCCTACCTGCCACACTAGCTGATTTCTTGGGGATTTGGGCCAACCCATTGCTCAGAGTAGTGGTCAGAGACAGAGATGGGCAAAGACCACCAAAGGCTCCAGACCACGGAGGGGAGGTTGTGGGGGCACTGGACTGGCAGCTGGAGGTTCAGGTAGGGAAGCTGAAGGAGAGGCAGAGCCTGGCACCTGTCCTCTCCTGGCCCCTGGGGACTGGGTGCTCCTTCTATACTCCACAGTTCTCCTATGGGACCCTGTGTCTAGGCCCCAACCACCCTGACCCTGTACAAACCCCACCCTTTTGACTATTGCCATGCTGCTACTGATTTTGCAGGAAGCTCCCCTTTCTTCCTGGCTCCTTCTGGAAAGCCACCTCTGACCCACCCCACAGCTAAATGAGGTGCCCAGGCCATAGCACTCAGAACCCATTGAGAGCAGGACAGAGGGGTGACTGAGAATTTCCAATCCTGCACCATCTTCCCCTCAGGCAAGCTACTCAGCCTTGAGGCTGCCTTCTCACTAGCAAGTGAAGGGCTTTCCTTGGCTACCTGGTAGAGTTGATGGTGGCGTAAATGTGACATACTGCCATAGGGCCTGTTGTTGCTCTGCCCATTCTTTATTAAGCTCCCTCAAGGATGTCCCTCAAGGGCAGCCCCTGCCATCAGCTTGAAGGGTGAGGGCAGCGAGGCCTCCCATTAAGAGTTGCCAGGCCCCAGTACTGGGAGCTGAGTGATACAGTGATGGAGCTCCTTCCAGGGCTCTCCAGCCTGAGTACCTGCTTTGGCCTTCATCAGGGAGCAGTCCTGAAGGGCAGGAGCCTCACGTGCCTCATGGTGGTCTGCTTTAACATCTGCTTTTTCCTCCGGTCAAGGTCAACCACATGCAGAGACCAGAAGAGGGGTGTGGGAAAGGTCTTCTCCTGTGGGATTTTTCTCAGGTTCACTGGGACCTCATCAGAGGTATTTTTCTTGGAGTCAAGTTTTGCCCAGTGGCAACTGGGAGTATCTGACATGGGGGACAGAGTATTTTTGATACCTCTCTCTTCTATACAGAAGAATCATTTTTAGTAATATTCATTAAATTAAATTAGTAATAATAATGCCCAGAAATGTATGAATGTTCTCTTATGTTGAATTTTTGTATATATATTCATGCCAGTAAAGAAATTTTAAATAGTTACTATGTTAAAAGGGAAAAAATAATGTATTAATACTTTTTAAACATATGAATTGTTTTAAATAAAGGGACAATTACCTATATGTTGGCAGGGTGTTGTGCTAGGCACTTGAGCCACTCTGCCAGCCCTTTTTGTGTTTGTTATTTTTGAGATAGGATCTCTCTTTATACTGGCCTGGGTTGCAATTCTCCTATTTTGTGCTTTCCCACATAGCTGGGGATGACAGGAGCACACCACCATGCTTAGTCATTGATTGAGATGAGGTCTCCCAAACATTTGTCCAGGCTGGCATCAAACCACAATCCTCCTGATCTCCCTTTCTCAAGTAACTAGGATTACAGGCTTGAGCCACTGTGCCCAGCTCTGTTTTGGGTTTTTTTGAGGCAGAATCTCACTGTATAGCCAAGGTTGCTTTTGAACTCTCTATCACCTGCTTCAGCCTCCCCCAACCCAGGGCTAGAATTACAGATATACATCATCATTCCTGGCTTGTAAATTGGTAGTTTTAATATATCTTTACAGTTTCTATTTTCTTGATTTATTCTTTGGTTTAAAACAAACAATTAGATTGGGGAGTGTAGCTCAGTGGTAGAGTGCTTGCCTAGCATGCATGAGGCCCTGAGTTCAGTCTTCAGCACCAGAATAAAAAAAAAAAAAGAAATTGCAAAAATGAACAACTAAAAGTTTAAAGAAAAGAATAAATTCAATAATAAAGGTATGATTAGAATTCAGTAAAATATTCATGTATGAAGTAAAGTTTGTACTTAAACAGAGACTTCACAGTTTGCACTTACTCACCGCTTTAAATTTTAAACACAAATTAAAAGTCCAGCGGCCTTATAGAGTGACAGTTCTGTGTCTTTGTCTTTACAGTCACTGTGCCATTGTTGTTTATATCAAATCAACTGCTTAAACACAAGAATATGCAGTGGTATGGGGCAGGAGGTGCCACCTGTGGTCAAAGCCTGCTCGGATTAGTCTGAACCATCAATCCTTAAAGCAAATGCACACAGCCAAGGAGCCACTGTACAACTGGGAATTTTCCAAATTAACCACAATGTTCACAAGAAATAAGATTTAAAAAACCCTAATGTGAAGCTTGTGTGACTTACTAAAGCCGAAGTGTACTTGCAGTGATTGTTTAGAGTACAGACAAACAAACATAGGCTCTCTTTAGGAGAATTCTATGGATGAAATTGTTTAAACTTGCTGCTGCAGTTAGTAGATGGTCTGATCGTTTGTCTGTGCTATTATTACCTGTGAGTAATAATAGCACACCCCTTGTTTTCTGCACAAGGGTGGACAGCTGGCTGTGCTCTATGGTTTTGTCTCTTCCTCTTACCTTCTCTAAATGACAAGAAGGAGGCTTTCAAATCCACTCCCCCACTCCACACACATACACTTTGGGTCCTGGGGTAAGGAAGGAAAGGAACTCCCGGCTCTGAGCTTCTGGAGTGGGGAAGGGGCTGCTCACATGCTGTACTGGATGGGTCTTGGCCCATGCCTGGTCCTGGTGGGCAGGGTCACTAAATGGAGTCCATACACAATGTCTCTTCAACAGAGGCCCAGGAAACACTGGATGCTTTCATGGATTCCCAGCCCTGAAGCACTTCTCCAGTCTCCATCCTCATTCCTCCCTATCACCCACTAAATGCCACCCTTGATGGATGCACTGTGTTCCTGCCACCTCTGAGTCCTTGCCTGTGTTTCTTTGTTTATCTTGTACTCATCTTCCCACCCAAACTCAGCCATTTACCTCCTTTCCTGTTTCCCTCGGTTAGAAGTCCCCACCTTTTGTCTACAGGGCCCCCTATGTTGATCTTTCTCCAAGTACATATCATGCTGTACTGAAGGAACGCTGTCACTGAACCCTTTGGTGGGGGAGGGAACCCAGGCCTGATTTTGTTTATGGCTGTGCACTCAGCACCCAGCTCAGGATCAGACCCAAGGCCAGTGAGTGACTGGTGTCCTGGTTAATTCCATGAGTCCACACACCCTTTTCCTCCCTAGAAAGGAAGACAGCTCCCTCCCAAATCCTC